GTGCTGCTCAGCCAGAAGCCGGGCTCACCGCTGGCAAGTGCAGCAGCAGTGACGGGATCCTCTTCCACCTCAATTGCAGGTGGGAGGTAAGAAGTGAGGGGTCCCAGACTGCAAGAGCTCTGGACTGTGAGAGGGATATCTGACTGCCTGCTATCCCACGAGTGGCCCCGGACTGCGAGAGGGCACAGGCCAGACTGAGGGGCTCCTCCCCACCCCCACCCCCAGTGCATGAATTTCATGCACCGGGCCTCTAGTTTCATATAATAGTGGTTTATTGGTGATGAACTACTTTAGCTTTTTCTTGTCTGTGAATCTCTTTATCTGACCTTTAATTCTAAATGATAGCTTTGCTGGGTAATCTTGGTTGTAGGTTCTTGCTATTCATCACTTTGAATATTTCTTGCCACTCCCTTCCAGCTTGCATAGTTTCTGTTGAGAAGCAGCTGAGAGTCGTATGGGTACTTCGTTGTAGGTAACTAACTGTTTTTCTCTTATTTAAGATTTTCTCTTTGTCTTTTGCCTTTGGCATTTTAATTATGATATGTCTTGATGTGGTCCTCTTTGGGTTCCTTTTGTTTGGGGTTCTTCGAGCTACATGTACTTGTAAGTGTATTTCTTTCACCAGGTAGGGGACGTTTTCTGTCATTATTTCTTCAAGTAGGTTTTTAATATCTTGCTCTCTCTCTTCTTCTTCTGGCACACCCATAATTTGGATGTTGGTACGCTTGAAGTTGTCCAAGCGGCTCCTTACACTATCTTCATATTTTTGGATTTTTTTTCTTTTTGTTTTTCCGGTTGGGTGATTTTTGCTTCCTCATATTTCAAATCATTGACCTGATTCTCGGGATCCTCTAGTCCAGTGATGGCGAACCTTTTGAGCTCAATGTGTCAGCATTTTGAAAAACCCTAACTTAACTCTGGTGCCATGCCACATATAGAAATTTTTTTATATCTGCAATCATAATAAAACAAAGACATATTTTTGATATTTATTTTATATATTTAAATGCCATTTAACAAAGAAAAATCAACCTAAAAAATGAGTTCGCGTGTCACCTCTGACACGCGTGTCATAGGTTCGCCATCACTGCTCTAGTTTACTGTTGAATCCCTGTATATTATTCTTTTTCTTTTTACAGGCTTACCAGTCATGAGGTTTACTTCACTTTAAGAATGGCTACAGCCCTAACTGGTTTGGCTCAGTGGACAGAGGTTGGCCTGTGGACTGAAGGGTCCCAGGTTCGGTTCTGGTCAAGGGCACATGCTCCGGGTGAGGGCTCGATCCCAAGTGGGAGGCCTGCGGAAGGCAGCCAGTCAATGACTCTCGCTCACCACTGATGTTCCCATCTCTCCTTCCCTCTCCCTTCTTCTCTGAAATCAACAAAAATCTCTATTTTTTTTTTTAAAAAAAGAATGGATAGAGACTAAGGATCAGAGCAGCATATTAGGCTAATCTATAATAATAAAAGGGTAATATGCTAATTAGATCAGATGTTATTCCAGTCGTCCTTCCTGATGAAGCTAGGGTGGAAGGGAAGCAGCCTGGTCCAGGTGCCTGCAGGAGTGCAAGGGAAGCCAGCCTGGGTCCCAGGTGCCTGCTGGCGGCCAGAGGAGGGAATCCCCGGACCCAGGTGCCAGAGAAGAGCCGGTGCTGGCAGCCCAGGGAAGGAAGGCCTACTCTTGCACGAATTTTCATGCATCAGGCTTCTAATTGTATCATAAAGGCTTTGGATACCCAGAACCAATGTCCAATATCCCAACCACCATTTTGGTCTCTTTTTAACTTAAGGGAAATTTTGGTCTTCTTTTTAAAGCAATGTAATCTCAAAACCAGTTGAGGTAATGAGAGAGAAGAAAGCATGAAACCTAAGAGCGTCAGACAGATGGACAGGAGAGAGGGCCCGCACTGGCCAGGGGCGCACACATCAGATCTTCTCCAGTTTGGAAATGAGGTCATCCCAGAGTCTGATCAGTTCATAGTTTTCTTTAGTCCTCTGCTCGGTGGTCTTTTCCAGCGAGTGGATGTGCACGTGCCCCTTCCGCAGGCTCCATGAATGGCCAAGGCCTCCCCTGGGCCTTGCTCAGGCCTGAGACATCTCCTCCTTTGCTGGCTTAAGCTTCCCTTCCATGGTGGGCACTCAGTGCCTGGGATCTTGGTCCTCCTCCTCAATTTTCACCACGTGATCCTCAGCACACTTAGTTGATTCTCCACTGTGCGGTAGCTTCCTATCACCTCATCCTAATGTCCAAGCTGCACGAAGTGGTTAGAAAATGATTTTCCCATGGAGTTCAGGTCTGCAGACCTTCTCCTTTCACTCTCTGGATTACGGCTGTGGCACGATCCTTCTGTGTCTGAGCCTCCTGCGTCCCCTGGCACAGATAGCCTCACACCCGCCTGTGACCTTCTTGTGGAGGCCTCACACCTGGTCTTCAGCAACAGATTCCCCTTTCGCGTGGCTTCCACCTCCCTCCCAGATCCGTCTGTCTGCGCCGCGACCTGTCCCCAGGATTGCACGCCAAGAACCTGTCCACCCCCAGCGTCAGGACCAGGACCGTGTCCTCTTGCGATGCCATGTCACCCCCTGGGCGAGCAGAGCCCCCTGGGTCAGGAGTGACCTCATTTGGGTCTGGCTCCTCCGAAGAGGGGCGCGGAATCAAGCGGGGCGGAAGGCCTCTCTGGGCGCACGGTCATTGGGGCCCAAGCACCCAGCGAGCCGCGGTTCCCTCCTTGCTTCCTTCCTGCACCACCCCTGGGGCCGGGCCTTCTCGCCTCCCCGGAACGATTGAAGTTCGGGCATCCAGCGAGTCCCAGGCCGGGTTGTGAGACCCCAGGACAGGAATCAGCCCTCGCGCACCTCCAGTCTCCCCACTTTCCTGGGTGAGGCGCTGCTTCCTGGCCTCGGAGCATCCAACCAGAGTGGGCTACGTGGCCCAAGGCCTCTTCCCCTGAGGACCGGGGTGGGAGTGCAGCTGCCGGGATGTCCCGGGTCAGTGAGGCCTTCCCCGCAGGCATCTTCCTGGTGCCCTGAGGCCCCAGCCCCGCTCGCATGGGCAGGGGCAGGGGCCGCGGGAGCTTCCACCCGGGGTCTTGGCAGGTCCCCATCCCGATGTGGGATGCCACCGGCAGGGTCTTTAGGATTTCCGAGATGGGAATGATCCTTGTACGTAAGGAATAGAAGGCGTGTTTCCCCCGGGCTGCTCCGGGCTGCCAGGCATTGGTCCTGGAAATGCCACTTGATTTTCTCTCTCCTGGGATCTGGGCGAGCTTGAGGGTCTGCTCCAGCCAGGGAGCCCACCATCAGTGTGGTCTCATGTGCATAGGATGCAGGTGCGTTGGCCCCTGCTGGTCCCTGGAGAATCCCATTGCTCCTCGCAGTGGCCGCGGCCTTGGTGAACCGTGGTTCTTTTCCTGGTTCTCATTCTGCTGGCTTGACTACCTGGCTAGTGACAGAGAACTTGGAAGGATGCAGGTCACACTCCCGTCCTTCAGCAGCTGCAGCCATAAGCTGTGGGTTTTGTGATGAATGAACCTGCTGCTCTGGCTGGTGTGGCTCACTCGGTGGAGCATCCTCCCGTACACTGAAGGGTTGCAGTTTGGATCCCCGTCAGGGCACTTACCTAGGTTATGAGTTTCGTCCTGGTGGGGGCACATTCGGGAGGCAGTCAGTGGATATTTCTCTCATACATCGATGTTTCTCTCTCTCTCCCCCTCCCTTCTCTCTCTAAAATCAGTAAAACATATCCTCTGGTGAGGATTCACGCACGCACACAAAACACATCTGGCCACAAAGTGTGTGTTCAGAGACATCGTTGGGTCAGTGACCCCCATGTAGTCAACCCCAGCCAGACCATAATTTATCTCTAATGAATATATTACATTCCCTACATTGATATCAAAGACTCCAGCTTTTCTATAGATCGCTGAGACTGGAAGAGTCACAGTTCACTCAACCCGTTCCTGTATATTATTTATTTCAGTCAGTGTATGCTTAATTTATGACTGGTCCTTTTCCATTTTTTTTTTTGGCATTCTCACAAAGGTCTTTGAAGGTCTCACTAAGTTCCCTGGAGGTTTTTAGAAGATTCTTGAGTAACCTTATAACTGGTTTTGAACTCTATATCTAGTAGTTCGATTTCTTTCATTTGTGACATGTTTCTTTGTCTCTGCATTTTGGCTGCTTCCCTGTGTTTGTTTCTATATATTGGGTAGCTGCTAAGTCTCCTTGAGTTGATAGAGTGGCCCTGTGTAGTAGGTGTTCTATAGGGCTCAGTGGCTTAGCCTCCCCAATCACCTGAGGTGACACTCTTGGTGCATCCCTTTGTGGGCTTATGCACAGTCTTGTTGTAGTTGAGCCTTGATTGCTGTTGGTGTCACTCAGAAGAATTGACCTACTGGGGATAGAGTATGCAATCTGGGCATATGGCCTGACCAGGAATTGAACCCTGACCTTCTGATTCATAGGTTGATGCTCAACCACTGAGGCACACGGGATCAGGCTCAAATTTACTCTTTTAAAAAATATATATATATTTTATTGATTTTTTTACAGAGAGGAAGGGAGAGGGATAGAGAGTTAGAAACATTGATGAGAGGGAAACATCGATTAGCTGCCTCCTGCACACCCCCTACTGGGGATGTGCCCGCAACCAAGGTACATGCCCTTGACCGGAATCAAACACAGGACCCTTGAGTCCACAGGCCAACGCTCTATCCCCTTAGCCAAACCAGTCAGGGCCCAAATTTACTCTCTTAATGATGAGAACTAACTGTTCAAGATTCACTGGCAGATTTAAATTAAGAGATAAGTAGTAATGGGAAAGAGGTCTAAAATATAGCTAATTTTGGGAAAAATAGAAAGGAAAGCTTTACTTTTTATAAACTTTGATGAGATTGTTATCAAATGGGAAGCTATGTGAGTGGACATTTTAATACAAATGTTAATAAGTATGTTAATTCAGTTAATAACTTAGTACATTTTCCTTCAAAATTATTGTTTTAGAGAACAGAATCTTGGCATTTTCTTCCTCAAGAAATGTACTCTTCCCACACCTCGGACACATCTCAGACCAGGTTTAATGTGAGAGAGGAAGAGACAGATGCGGCAGACTTCCTCTCTGTGGAGGAGGGTGTATTGACCCAATCAGAAAATCAAGTAAAGAAACACAACAGAGGTCTCTTTTGTTCTCCATTGCTAGGTAAGGCCTCTTTTTTTCCTTTAAAATAGTACTCATACCTCACATTTATAAAATATTTACTTTTGGCAGATTGCAAGTCCTTCATTTAAATCCTTTCTTGAGTTAAGGAGTTCTGTAAAGATATACTCAAAGATATTAGCTTATTTCTGGTTTCCACAGCTTGTGTAGTTATGTTAAATGTGCAGCTGCCCCTCATTTTATACTCTATTGCTCACAGAAGGCAGAAAGTTGATAACTTTCTCTCTAGTAGGTACACCTTCTCAGTCCTGAATTTGTGGATTTTTTTTTCTTGGCGTAAACCATGTTATCCTTTATTATTATTATTATTTTTTATTTTTAATCCTCACCTGAGGATATTTTTCGATTGATATTTAGTGAGAATGCAAGAGAGCGGGAAAGACAGAGAGAAACATCGATGTGAGAGAGACACATCAGTTGGTTGCTTCCTGCATGAGTCCCAACCAGGTCCCAGGTCAGGGAGGAACCTGCAACTGAGGTACATGCCCTTGACTGGAATCGAACCTGGGACCCTTTGGTCTACAGGCCGACACTCTATCCACTGAGCCAAACTCGCTAGGGTCTGTGTTATCCTTTGACTACTTGGCAATGGAGACCCATACTCCTTAAAATACAACCCAAAAAAGCAAAAGTTCATGTTTACCTCATTAGATTCTTAGAATTGATTATGGCATTTGTTATTATTCTCAGTTTCCAGAACCAAAAATTTGGATACAGAGGTTAAATGACTTGTTTGAGGTAGATCTTATTGCTTGTTGTATATGGAACTGATTTATTAGCTCTTTACAAAAGGAATACTTTACCTCTCAAATCACCAAAGTAGGAGATAGAATAAATTGTACTTTTACTACTTTGGATCATTACAGATATATAAAAATGCTAAACAAATATGGTAATTTAAACTTTTTTCATGCCTAAATTGTAATTCAGACAAATATTTCTTTGTTCTTCCTTTCCTCAGATTTTGTTTTCAAAAGTTGAAAAGAAAATACAGCTCCACAGTTTTAAGAATTTGCTTTTGTCAAAGAAATGGGTTCAACTGTGCAGTTAAGAGTTTTTTAAAGGAGCATGAATAGGAGTTAATTTAAGGTCTTAACAAACATAAACTAATGCTATCTAAATCAAAATATTAGTGCCAATGAATTCTGTGATGTGGATCATCAAACTCAACTTTAATTTTAGTTTCACATTTTAAGAAATATGTTGATAACATTAGTGTTTCTTTGTGGGAGGAAATGGCTATGACAGTAGATGAAAAAAGGCTTTGCTATGATCATGTTTTCGAACGGTTATCATGCTAAAATGGAAGCAGCTTATTTTCATTCACTTACTTAACAAATATCTAAGTGTCTATTGTATGTTTTTGAGGCTAGGAATATATAGATGAAAGCTAACTCTTCTTTTGGGAAGACAATCCAGTAAACAGAAACGAACAGTATCATGTATGAGTATTTAAATGTAGTACAGCAGGAGCGTGCAAATTACAGACCACAGGTCAAGGCCTTATTTTTTATGAACTAAGAATGCTTTTTGAATTTTTAAAAGGATTGTAAAAACAACAAAAAAAGCATATGCGATAGAAACCATATATGACTAATAAAGTCTAAAATATCTACTACCTGGCCTTTTATAAAAGTACTAGTAGCCCTGCGCACGAATCCATGTGTGAGTAGCTCACTGCCACTTGCCTCAGCTGGCCACCCGCCCGCCACCGCTGGTAGCCCTCTTGCTGCTCATAGCTCGCTGCCCCGCCCTCCTGTAGCTCTCCACCACTTGTAGATTGGTCGTGATGTTACAGCACAGTGGATAGTTAGCATATTCTTATCTTACCTGACAGTAGACAAACATGTAAATTGACTGTCCCTCCGCTATCACCAGTTAATCAGGAGAGTATGCAAATTAACCCAACAAAGATGGTGGTTAATTTGCATACAAAGGCACAAAGTGGCGGAGCGAAGACTGAAGGTTCCGGGCCAAAGCAGTGAAGACTGAAGGCTCCGGGCCGAGGCAGCGAAGACAAGGCTCCGGGCCAAAGCAGCGAAGACTGAAGGCTTGGGTCCTGGGTGCCGGAGACAAACCAGTGCCGGCAGCCAGGGGAAGGGAAGGCCTATTGCATGAATCTCTTTGTGCAACAGGCATCTAGTTTTATAGGATTTGCTAATCCTAATCTGGAAGTTAAAATGAGAATATATAGGGTTGTTTTAAACTTGATATTGATATAAGAAAGAACGTTCAACTAGAGCAGTGGTTCTCAACCTGTGGGTCACGACCCCTTTGGGGATCGAACGACCCTTTCACAGGGGTCGCCTAAGACCATCGGAAAACACATATAATTACATGTTGTTTTTGTGATTAATCACTATGCTTTAATTATGTTCAATTTGTAACAATGAAAATACATCCTGCATATCAGATATTTACATGACGATTCATAACAGTAGCAAAATTACAGTTATGAAGTAGCAACGAAAATAATTTTATGGTTGGGGGTCACCACAACATGAGGAACTGTATTAAAGGGTCGCGGCATTAGGAAGGTTGAGAACCACTGGACTAGAGCCATTTAATAATGGAAAGGCTATCCTATCTAATAATAGACAAACATGGTAATTAACTGTTCCTCTCACACTCTTCCCATTGGCTAATCAGGGTGATATGCAAATTAACTGCCAACCAAGATGGCGGTTAATTTGCATATTACAGGCAGGGCGGGATAACGCCATCCCGCCTGCCCCCCTGCCATCTGGGCCTGCTATCTGCGACTGGGGCGGCAGGCAGCCCATATGGGACCTGACCCAGGGCTGGCCGGCGGGACCACAGTGATCTGCCACTGGACACGCCCACAAACGGCCCTCAACGGGGATTCATGGCTGGCAGGTGATAATGCACCCATCCACCACCGGCTTAGCCCACAAACGGCCCTCCCTCGGGGATTCTGGGTTGGCGGGTGCTAATGCACCAATCTGCCAACACGCACACCTGGGCCGCCTTTGCCCTGTGCATACAGCTGGGAGAGGGGAGTGGGGCCGCTGGGAGCAGGGCGGGAACTGCCCAGGGTTTGCGTCAGGCAGCCCAGAGTGGAGTGCGAACTATCCTGACAGGTAGCTGCTTGCTCATTCATTTACTTGCTCGCCAACTTTGTTCTCTTGATAAAATGGGGCCTCGGGAGCCAGGCCACCCCAAGCCTGTAGGCCTGTGCCTAGGCCAGGAGTGGCTGGGGTCCAAGAACATGACAGCGGGTGCAGGTCGGGCTGAGAGGTCTGACCCCTCCCCTCCGCCTCACCCCGAGTGCACAAATTTTTGTGCACTGGGCTACTAGTCTATAATAATAAAAGGGTAATATGCTAATTAGACCAGACATCTTTCGAACATCATTCCTGACAAAGCTCAGCTGGAGGGAAGCCAGCCCGGATCCTGGGTGCCTGTGGACAGCCTGAGGGAACCCAGCCCGAGTCCCGGGTGCCTGCCTGCGGGTGGCTGGAGGAGGGAAGCAGCCCCGGTCTTGGGTGCTTGCCGGTGCCTGGAGATGGGAAGCCCGGGCCCCAGGTGCTGGACGGAAGCTAGTGCTGGCAGCTGGGGGAAGGCCTACTCTTGCACAAATTTTCGTGCATGGGGCCTCTAGTCTATCTATATAAAAGCCTGGATGACTGGCCGGTAGCTATGACACACACTGACGACCAGGGGTCGACACTCAATGCAGGAGCTGCCCCCTGGTGGTTAGTGTGCCCCCACAGCCTACCTCCCCCGGCCGGCCAACCTCCTGTGGTCCCTTCCCCCGGACTGGGCAAGACAGCCCCTATTGGGACCCCACCCATGCACAAATTTGTGAACAGGGCCTCTAGTATAACAGTAAAAAGGTGAGCTTAGCCCTGGCCCATGTATCTCAGTTGGTTGGGCATCATTCCTTGCACTGAAAGGTTGTTGGTTCCATTCCCAGGTGTGGGCACGATGCCTATGTTGTGGGCTCAATCCCTGGTAAGGGACATTAGGGAGGCAGCCCATCAATGTTTCGTTCTCACATGGAACCCTCTCTTGCCCTCTCTCCCCCTCTCTATCTCCCCCCTCCTCTCTAACTCCCCTCCCCCCTCCCTCCCTCTCCGTTTCTCTCTAAAAAAGATTAATAACAAAATGTTTTTTTAAAGAAGTGAGCTTATGTCATGGCAAAATGTCAAGCAAAATTCTTTAATAAAATAATTTCAGCTTTGGGTAGGGAATTGTGTGTCTGGCTTCTAAAACTTTTGCTAACATTAAGTTGTATAGCTCTAGCTTCTCATTTACATTTTAAATTATTAGAGCAGATCCCTGGATCTGATGACCGAGGAAATTTTATAATTGCTGTTTTGTTATGCATGAATACTATAGTCATTGTGGAGTATATTAGTCTCACCAATGGCAAATGTCATATTGAAAACCAGTGCCAAAACAGATATCTCAAAAAAGAGTGGTCCAAGCTATTACAGTGTCCAAATGTGAGGAAATGTGGGGTCTTTGTTAAAAGACCTTAGGATTCTTAGAGGGTTGGAGGACTTATGAAGGTTATGAAATTAGATTATGAAGGATTAAGACTGAGTCTCTAAGCAAAGGCCGAAGAGGAATCATGCCAGTTGGTCCTTGGTGGTAAAGGTTTCTCTTTTTTAATTAAATCATTTAGTAAATAAGTAATAATTCTATTTTGAATGCCTACTAAGTATAGCAGGTATTTTGCTAGGCACTGAAGATACCACTGTGAATACAGCAGACATGGAGTTTTCAATCTAGGTGGAAAGCAGACAGACTAAAGATTAAAACAAGAGTGTGGTAGTTATGATAGGGAAGGTGTACAGTATTATGGGCATTCTGAAATTAAGTAAACTATAGCAACAGAATTATATGCATATTGACAGAACCATTTAGTTTTAGTAAAATATCACCCATCCAGTTAAATTAATATTAAATAGGATGCTGTACAGATCCTGTTGGTTGTACAGATTTGTTTCTATTGATGCTTAATTTTTTGTTTTGTAGTTGTGTAAATACTATAAGAGAATACAGACTTTATATTTAGTATACATTCAAGGGCATTCTAATAATTACTTAGGTTGGCATTCAGGAATTCACAACAGTTCTTTTCCCCCTTAAATCAGTAATTCTCAAACTTTTTGGTCACAGGCCTATTTTACACACTTTAAAGTTACTGAAGATTCTTTTTTTTTTTTAATATATTTTATTGATTTTTTACAGAGAGGAAGGGAGAGAGACCGAGAGTTGGAAACATCGATGAGAGAGAAACATCGACCAGCTGCCTCCTGCACACCTCCTACTGGGGATGTGCCCGCAACCCAGGTACATGCCCTTGACCGGAATTGAACCCGGGACCCTTCAGTCTGCAGGCCGACGCTCTATCCACTGAGCCAAACCGGTTTCGGCTAAAGTTACTGAAGATTCTAAAGACCTTTTGTTTAATGTGGATTTAGTCAGTTGCCTCCCGTATGCACCCCGGCCAGGTATGTGCCCTGCCCTGGAATCGAACCCACAACCGTTTGGTGCATGAGATGACACACCAACCAACTGAGTTACCCTACCAGGGCCTTAATATTATTTTGAATATAAGTTTGACCCTTGGCACCTCCTGAGATTGTCTTAGGGATGCCCAGGAGCCCATGGAAAACACTTTGATATACAATGGAAAGAAGCACTCATAATGGTTAAGAGCACTTGTAAAAAAGTTAGTGCTTAGGCTCAGATCTCACTCTGCCACTTAGGCTTTTTAAATGTGGACAAATTACTTAATATTTCTTAAGTTATGTAATCATGTTTCCTTACCTATAAGATGGCTATAATGATACCCATCCTTCAAGGTTGTCATGAGGGTTAAGTGAAATACTGTATGTTTAGTACGTGGACCTTGTCAGGTAGTTGCTGCTGCTGTTACGTTGTTATAGTAAAGTTTGTAGAAATTTTCCGATGGCAGCATGTTTAGATTCTTTAAAGTATTATGTGAGTGCTAAGCAGTTATTTTTAGTATTTCCAACATATTTATATTTGAAACTTTGCAGTCCTACAAGACAACTTTGCTTCTCCTGATTTGCCTTTGCTGACATGTTTAACACAAGACCAAGAGATTGGGCCTGATTCCATATTTCACCAAAGTGGACTAGATTTTGCACCTCTGAGGTAGTATGATTTTTTATTTTTATTTTCATGTAACCATTCTACTCTTGCTTTTCTTGTTCTTAGTTGTTACTAATATTAATGACTTCAGCCTAAGTTGAGACTTTGGGGTAGGGGTTAGATCAGGGGTGGGCAAACTTTTTGACTCAAAGGCCACAATGGGTTCTTAAACTGGACCAGAGGGCCGGAACAAAAGCATGGATGGAGTGTTTGTGTGAACTAATATAAATTCAAAGTAAACATCATTACATAAAAGGGTACGGTCTTTTTTTTTTTTTTTTTTTAGTTTTATTCATTTCAAATGGGCCGGATTCAGCCCACGGGCCGTAGTTTGCCCACGGCTGGGTTAGATAGTTTCAGCTCACACTCTGAAGGTAACATGTTCCTAAGTTAAGACATGATGCATATCAGTTTGGCATAATAACATGTAGATGTAAAAATGAGCCCGTTTACTGTAGTGTATTTAAAAATAATTTCTAATATAGTCTAGCTTTTCAGGCATATTTTAATTTAGAAGGCACACTGGATTTTTCTTTTTATAAATCTCCCCTTTTGCTTTTCATCACCCAATCCCATTTTGTAAAAAGCATTTATTTCATGGTCACTAACTTGTTTGGCACTCTCATTTTGGTCAGCTAATATTGAATGAGCCTTCTTATCTTTCCTTACCATATATCTGTGAATATGAAGTAATAAGATTTTTTCTAACAAACATGTCCAAATTAATAATTATTCCAAATTAATATCCTTTAAGAATAGTCATGATGGGAGACATGTTTGGAATTCTCAAACATTTGGAATTATCCAAAAATATAAGTTTTCCTTCTTTAGAACTTAAAAAAAAAGCACCTTAAAATAAAAACTAGGTGTTTACTGATGTGCCCTTGTGCTATATATTACTTTTAAATTACTTGTATGAAAAGTGTTTTGTACACAATAGTCAGCCAATGATTAGATTACTGTTGTAGTTTTTTTGGGGGGGTGGAATCGGGGGGAGTAGATAACTTCTTAAGTGGTTTTCAAGAACATAATAAATGACTAGCAAAAGAGCTAACGCAGGTTAAATGAATTTTAAATTTTCATTTAAAGAATATTTTTTTGCCAATATGAAATTATTCATATATTTGACAGTATTGTTTTAGAGAAGCCTGAGAAAATATCAGGGTCACAGATGGTAGTGCACTTTTCTATTTATATAAAAATTTGCCTTGTTTAGTCATTAGTCATCTTAAAAAAATTTGAAATTATAACTTTGTTTTTCAACACATTGTGGAAATAACCTTGATATCAGTGACATAACAATTTTGTATTTTTTCATGTTGGTATTTAAAATAATAAATGTTTTAAATATGTAACCTTTTTTTTTAATTGTATATTTTCAGGGGAATTCCTGGTAAGTCCGAAGACATTGAAGGGTTTTCTCGACCGGCGGAAGTTAGTGAAGCTTTATTCCAGGCAACCTCAAAAATAGCTTCAGACTTAGTTAACAGTCGCTTTAATGTATCTCAGCACACACTTATAGGGAGTACAGATGTTGAGTCTCAGGGCTCTTTTTTACATCCTGAGCAAGAAACCAAAGAAGAGACTGTTTTAACCTATACAGTTGATGAACTGAAAAAGCCCAAAGACTCTGATAGTTATGGTGCTCTTTGTTCATATATGTCATGGAAGATACAAGAAGTTACACAGAAGCCAGAAACCAATTTAGCTGATAAAGATCAATTTTCTTTTTCAACTTCATTTGATACAAGTGATAAATATGTAACTCCTAAAGAAAGTGACAGTTTTGATGCTTCTTGTTCAGATGTGCACTATTGGAAACGGGAAGCTTTACAGCAGTCAGAAAAATATTTAACCAGTAAGGACCATGATTCCTGCTCAGATTCATCTGATACAGTTGATAAAAATAAAAGTCTTGAGGGGAGTGACAATTTTAATGCCCCCTTTTTATTTATGCCATGGACCAAACAGGGAGCTTCACACCATCCAGAAACATGTCTAGTCAGTAAGGATCATGTTTCTTTTCCACTTGAAATTGCTCCTCATTTTAATAATAAAATGTCATATTCTTTCTTGCATTGCTTGTTAGAAAAGAGTGGGAAAAGGGTTTCCTTGATGTCTGGTAGTCATTTTGAGAATGTGTATTTAAGGGCTCCAGCTGAGAATGAGATGAAACAAAAGATGGTTTCTTTGGAGTGTTATTAAAGAAATGAAGGTCTGGGAAAAGAATGATCTCAATGTTTTGAACTAAAGGAAAATAGCAGTACTTTATTATTTTCAGAGGTGTGTCCCAGATCTTCAGCTGTAGAATATATTGAGAATGTTATAGTTCCTGATAATTCCTTAAAAGTTTCAAAAACACATACTCTCTCCAGGGGAAATGATACCTCTATGTAGATATCATGTCCTCTTTGGTGGTCCTCTTCAGACTATTACATCCAGCTTGGATGAGATACAGAACAACTGTATTTTCAAGAGGAAAGAAACCAAAAGGCAAGTGCTGCTTTTGGAGGTAGAAATGTTGATGCTACTGCAAAGGTAGCCTTTGAGGCAGTTATTGCCTCTATTGAGATTTCCAAGGAAGAGAGTACAGTAAATGAAATCCAAACTGACATCAATAAATCTGTGACAATGATAGCCAAGAAGGTGAACCAAACCATTCAGATATTTTCCTATTAAATTACAAAGATGAAAACTGTTTCGTTGATAAACTTAGTCATTCATGCTATCATCCTACTCCCAGCATGTTTGAACCAGAAGCTTCAAAGCCGTTGTTGCATAAAAGTGATGATAATGTTACCTCCCTGTACTGGTTTCCTAATATAAAATCATTCCCCAGTGCTCCTCAGTAAATGTTCATTAAGCCACTTTCTTTTATTCCAGAGATTAAGTCATATGTGTCTTTAAGTGAAAAATCTCACAGTTAGATTGTTGGTCTTTGCAAAACACAGTCAGCTTTATTTCAGGGTGATGTAGACAATGAACCATTTCTTCCCATTGGGAAGATTAAGTATTTTTCTGCTCTTGACCTTGCAGAGAAGGCAGGATCTTCAAAAATTATTTACCCACTGGAAGTATCTACTTCAGATTCTTTGTTTTCGCAAGATTTAAAGCAGCAAACCTTTGAAGAAGTTGCAGATTCCTCAAACGATATTTTGGGTAAGAATGTAAATTCTAGTCATGTCATTGAAGGTCCATCTGCAGATATAGGAAGCAGCTTTTCAGCAAACTTGATGACATATGATGCAAAGTAATAAGGCACTTTACCAATGATGAGTGCTGCATCATTAATTACAGTTGGTCAGGAGACATTGCTGAAAGCGGACATAAGCCTAGCTGAAATTCCTTGGCCTATGGGTGCCAAATCCAGTTTTACGATACATACAATTATGCAAAATGACTCCTGTTTTGTAGAGGGCCTGCAGAGGAAGGCTGAATCTGACATCTATTCTCTGGATGATGATATTGAATGCTATAGCCTAGATGAAAATGCTGTTGTATGCAATGAAAGATCTGAACTACAAAGAGAGGTGAGACACAATAAAATGATAGTTGGGGAAAACATGGTCTTTTCTAGTTTTGTTTCAGGAAATGGCATTGTTACTTGTTTTTATTTTACTTGTTACTATTTCCCAGATATGTGACCAAGGTGACTTGACTGGGAAGTGCATTGAGCTAGCAGGTTTAGAAAATATGCTTGATGATCTAGAAATTTGTGATGTCTCCCTGCCTTGGCAATCTGCTTTACAACTACCATCGGAGGAAGAGCCTGTAAGTTTTTCTATTTGACATTTCTTATGGGGAAGGGAAAGAAATATTTCAGTTGAGGAGAGAAACCAAGATGGCAGCATAGGTAAACACCGGAAATTGCTGCCTCGCACAACCACTTCAAAAATACAACTAAAAGACAAAACGGACATCATCCAGAACCACAGGAAGGCTGGCCAAGTGGAAATTCTACAACCAGAAGGAAAAAGAAAAGCACACTGAGACTCAGAGGAGGTGCAGAAGTAAAGTGCAGAGGTACGGAGGCGCACGTGGAAAGGGCTGGCAACTAAGGACATGGCTGTCTTTTTCAGTCGGGAGGGAGACACAAGCTCCCGACTACTCTGAATGCCAGTTCCGGGCGAGTCTCTGGGGACCCATACTCAAACGGGGAGAAACTGGACTGTCTGGCAGTGGGCAGAACTTGAGGGTGGCTTTCTCTCAGAGGTGCTTGCAGTGATTACCGCAAAACAATGAGAACTGGGACATCTTAGGGCAGGGCTGAGGATCAGCCACACCTGTTTGCTCCACCCTGTTGATTCCCTGAGACCCCACCCCACCCAAGCTGCGCGCAGAGGCTTTTGCATATGAATGACCTGGTCCTTTGCAATCTAAAATTACCTAACTAATTGCAGCTGGTTCAGAGAGACCCAGAACATCCAAAAGAAGGCCCAAGACCCCACAGCAGCTTGCATTGCTTCACAGCTGGGCCTCATCTGGGCACCTCCAAACATAGTAGAGGAATCTGCAGTTCTCTCTGTAGCTCCTGCTGGGTAGCCTTAGGCAGAGGCTAAATTAGCACCTCCTTAGAGATCCAAGAGTCAGTTTACCCAGTGGTCAGAGTGGACCATCCAGATTACAATTCCTTAGATCCATAAGGGACACACTCAGGGGGCAGACTCAGTGAGCACCAAAGCCCCACTGAAGCAAGTCTTGCCCCAGAAGGGTGTCTCCAGCACAGAAGTTCTCCCACCATAGACACCGCTGATTCTCACAGCCAATTGGCCTGGAGGTCAATTCCTCCCAGTGATACCAACTACAATCAAGGCTTAACTACAACAAGATTGTGCACACAGCCCACAAAGGGGTGCACCAAGAGTGTCCACCTCAGGTAATTGGGGAGGCTGAGCCACTGGGCCTTATTGGTCACCTGGAACAGAAAGCCACTCTACCAACATAGGGAAGCAGCCAAAATGCGGAGACAAAGAAACAGGTCACAAATGACAGAAATGGAGGAAAGCAAACTACTGGATATAGAGTTCAAAACCACAGTTATAAGGTTTTTCAAGAATTTTCTAGAAACTGCCGATAAATTTAGTGAGATTAAATAAATCTGTGAGACTGCCGATAAATTTAGTAAGACGCTCAATAAGTCTAGTGAGACCCTTGAGGATATGAAAAAGGACCAACTAGAAATTAAGCATACCCTGACTGAAATAAAAAATATTATACAGAGACCCAATAGCTGACTAGAGGATCCCAAGAATCAAGTCAAAGATTTGAAATACGAAGAAGCAAAAAACACCCAACCGGAAAAACAGAAAGGAAAAAGAATCCAAAAGTATAAAGATAGTGTAAGGAGCCTCTGGGACAACTTCAAAAATACCAACATCCAAATTATGGGGGTGCCAGAAGAGAGCAGAGAGCAAGATATTGAAAACATATTCGAAGAAATAATGACAGAAAACTTCCCCTACCTGGTGAAAGAAATAGACTTACAAGTCCAGAAAGTGCAGAGAACCCCAAACACAAGGAATCCAAAGAGGACCACACCAAGACACATCATAATTAAAATGCCAAGAGGAAAAGACCAAGAGAGAATCTTAAAAGCAGCAAGACAAAAACAATTAGTT